ACCATTAGTGCTTATATTGTTTGATCAATTTTGCAGGCCTATATCTGGTAATCTGAGCAACTACTTTGAACAACATGCAATATAACAACCATTGTTAATTTCCTATCATCTTATTTTGAAATTCCATACCATTTTTATTGGTTTTTGTCTCTTTAAAATAAAAAAAGTTATTTGAAAGGCTAATAAAAAAGCCAGTCCCTGATGAAAATGATCAAGAAAAAAATGAAGGAAGACAATGTAAACCTATTAGGATTGAACAGGGGACCTTAACTGTTAATGTAGTAGAGATGTAAATGGTAAGAGTATTATAGTTTTTTAATAAAAGTTTAAAAACTGATACGATGGGAAAATTCCAACTGAACCTTCTCATAAATAAAACACCAGATCCAAATAGTTTAACAAGTAAATTCTATCAACTATTCAAACTTAGATAAAATCCAGATAAAAAAAGAGAAAATACCTCCCAATTAATTTTATGAATGTAAAACTATGATACTTAAATCAGACAAGGAGATCAAGGAAGGAAAAACTGCAGGTCAATCTCACCCTTTTATACAGATGCAATACAGACATAAAAGTCCCTAAATGGAATATGGGCAACCAAATCCAGTAATGTATCAAAAGGGTAATAAGGAATTAAGCACTGATATACGTTACCACAGAGATGAACTATAAAACATGCTACGTGAAAAATGCCAGACGTAAGAGCCTACATATTATATGATCCACTTATATACAATGTCCAGAATTGAAAAAGCTATAGGAAGAGAAAACCGATGAGTGCCTGCCAAGAGAAGGGAAGAACTGGAAGTAAACACTAGCAGGTGTGGGGTTTCTTTTTGCTGAAGTGTAAATGTCCTGGAATTAGTCACACAACACAGAAAATGTTAGGTTGAAGCTGAAATTATTTATAATTACCAAGAAGAAAATACCCTGACTAAAATTAAGCTAGTGCTGTCTCTAAGGAAATATGGAAGACAAAGCAAAAAACACTCTGTCCATGTCCTGAATAACATTTTCTATTCAAGTCAAGCAACCAAATAAATTTAAAAAAATAACCTGTGTAGTAGGAGGGTAAAATATCTGGACATCTGGACATTTTTCTTATCTTTTCAATTTCTATGTCCTTTCCACTTTCCAGTAAATAACTAGGCAGCAACAAGTCCTTGCCAGAAGCACACAGCTCAACTATGCCAAAGCCTCAGGCCTGCTCTAATCTAAGATATTAATGCATCATAAAGAGGAAATAAAGTACTGAGTATATTAAGACAACAAACTTTAGAAGCAAAGCTATACTCATGAAACTGGAAAAAAAAACCTATCAAATTTGCTGTGAATTTTTAAGTGGCAAACCTGTAATATAATTAATTTTGCTTCATTCATCGTTTATAAAGGGAAAAAATCTAAATGGAATTGCACCACAAAATAAAAATACGTTAGACAGCCTCCAAGTTTTACCTTGCAAGTTCCTTAGGTTTGAACTTCCACCATGTATCTGGTTCCCGGAAAAGGACTTTATATTTATGTTTCTGTGACTACATATAAAAAGACAAAAACACTTTAAAAGAATTATTTCCATAAATTAATCACATTATTTCCAAACTTATAGCATGTTAAATATGAAAGAACCTCAAAGATTTTTTGATAGGTATGTTAAACTGATAAAACATACAATATCTGTGACCTGGCAATTAACGTCCAATAATGTACACTAAGAGAACAAAGAAGGGTAATTATACCACACATACTTGTGTGTGCACACACATTCACACACAGGCATGCCAGGATATCCAGTTCACTATTATTTGTAAGAGGAAAAGAATAATGCTGGGCGTGGTGGTGCACGCCTGTAATCCCAGTACTTGGGAGGCTGAGGCAGGAAGATTGTTGCGAGTTCGAGACCAGCCTCAGCTACAAAGTGAGTTCAAGGCCAGCCGGAACTGAATAGTGAGACGCTGTCTCAAAAAGACTCCAAAAAAAAAAAAGAGGAAAAGAATATAAGTAACTCAGTGACTATTAATACGGACTTGGCTAAGGATATAACCATAAAATAAAAATATTACACAGTAATTTTTTAAATTCTTTATGTGTTAATGTGAGAAAGTCTTTAAATTGTTGAAATAAACAGAATTCTGATTTGTACATTTGTATGTGCAAGGAAAACTTCTACAAAGATTCTCAAAAACATTATTAAAAGCATTTAACTGTAGGGAGGAGGCCTTCAGGCATTTTTTTCTTTTTTTTGGAGTTTGAGTATTTACCATATATACGCATTAACTTTTACAATTTTACAATTACTTCAGGGCTTGGGAAGCAATTCCCAAGTGGTAATTCCCAATGGGAGAGGGCTCATCTACTATGTGCAGGGCTCTGGGTTCAATCCCCAGCACTGCTAAGCTAATAAATAAATGAAACTGTTAAATTCTTTCATAATAGCCATTACATTTTTCTGCCAGCTTGCTTTTCACACCATTTCCCTGCCAGCTAGGTCCCTATTTTCCTGTTCCCTTCTGAATGGGAACTAAGAATAGTTCTTTTTAAACAGAAGAGAAGCAGGAGGAAATAAAGATGAGACAGAGATTGTATGTGGTCCATAAAATCTACAATTCTTACTTGCACTTTACAGAAAAGTAAGCCTACCTCATGGCCTTCTAATAAAAAAACAGCAAATATCATGCTATACCAGAGGCCAGGGTGGCATGAACACAAAAAGTGACTAATTCAACAAGACAGAAAGCCAGGCACAGTGATGCACTTATAATCTCAGCCATGCTGTTGGGAAACTGAGGCTAGAGGATTGCAAGTTCCAGTCCTGCCTGCACAACTTAGCACGACTGTCTCAAAATTGGAGTGGAGGATGCAAAAAGAGCAAGGAAATTGTAATCCAGGCCACTCAGACCATGAGAGAAGTGAGTGTGCTCCAGGTTAAGCTTATAAAGAAGCTGGAAAACTGAGGGAATTGAAAATGAGTTTATAGAATTCAAAATTTCTCAGAACAGCATTTTTTTTTAGTTTGAGTAATAACAAGGGACCACCAAATTGTTTTGTTTTTTCGAGACAGAGTCTCATTATGTAGTTCAAAATGGGCTTAAACTCACTATGTAGGCCAATCTGGCCTAAAACTGGAGGCAATCACTTCCCCTGTGTCAGCCTCCTGAGTTCTTGGATTGCAGGTATGCACCACCATGGGACCACTAAATTTTAAAAGAAAGAGCAATCAAGGGGGTAATAGGTGTATGTATGTATGTATATATGTGTGCAAACATACACACTTAAAATAATTTAAGAATAAAAAAAAAAAGTTTTTTGAGAGAGTCTTGCTGGCATTGAACTCATTACATAACCCAAGCCGGCCTCAAACTCCCAGCGATCCTCCTGCCTCAGCCTCCTAAATGCTGGGACTACAGGCGTGCACTACCACACCAGCTTAATAATAAATTTTGATACTATTACCTTTCCATAAAAGATACCAAAACACAAAACAATCTTAGATGTTAAGGTTTTAATACTCAAAATTTTAAAACTATGTAAATTTTTTGTTTGTTTGTTTTTTTCCAGTACCGGGAATCAAACTTACGACCTTGCGCTTGCCAGGCAGGTGCTGTGCCGCTGAGCTAAATCCCCAGCCCCTAAAACTACATAAATTTAGAATTATGGGAAATTCAGTTATATTAATTATTCATTTTGCTCATTTCACTGAAGACCAGAGAAACTAGAGTTCAAGGTAGACCAAGATTCTGAGATTCTCAAGTGCCTGAGATTCACTTGTGTAAAAATTAACATCACTCAATGATTACAACCTCCATATTAGAAATTTATGACAATTTACGGTACAAACCAAAGCAACATATGGTTTCATTTCCCATGCTTGTAGGTTTGTATTATCAATTATGATTGGTGATATCTTCTTCTCAAATGCTTCTTTTGCTGAAAAACAACATAAAATGATGAATCATTTTAATATTATTTTTATTTTTTTACTTCTAAGTGATTTTTTTAATTGAAAACCATAGATATGTATTAATTCTGCTCACTATCTGACATAACTCTCACTTCTGAGAACATGAAAAACTAAAGCATAGGTAAACATTGAAAATAAATGCAAATAAATACTATAGTTACATAACAATTAGAGAAAAATTATATCATGGTAAAAAGCAACATGGTATCCTAGATTAGATTATATAAATGGAAAGGGTTTTAGTGCCAGGCATGGTGGCACATGGTGTAATCCCAGTACTTGAAGGATAAAGCAGGAGGATTGCTGTGAGTTAAAGGCAAGCCTGAGATACATTGTTAGTTTCAAGGCCAGGCTGAACTACAAAGCAAGACCCTGTCTTAAATAAACAAAATGAAAGGGCAGGCAGGTCTTTAGTGAAAAACTTAAAATCCAAATGAAGTCTGAAGTTTAGTTAATAGTAATATACCAGTGCTGATTTCTTAGTTTTGACAAATCTGCCATCATTACACATTAGATGTTAAATTAAAAGACAATGAGTGAAAGGCATACACATGCTGTCTATACTATCTCTACAACTTTTCTGTAACTCTAAAATCATTCCAAAATAAAATTTAAAAGCAAACAAAAAGCATAGACAGGGCTGGGGATTTAGCTCAGCGGCAAAGCGCCTGCCTGGCAAGCGCAAGGTCGTGAGTTCGGTTCCCGGTACCGGAGAAAAACCAAAAAAAAAAAAAAAAACAAAAAAAAACAAAAAAGCATAGACATACACAAAGTAATGATCTAAAATAAAAATTATGACATGCTATTTATGTAAGAGATTTTCTTACAAAACTACCTTTCTTCCTCAAAGATTTAGACCATTCAGGAAATTAATAATGTACCACAATAAGTAAAGTCTACTAGGAAATTATTCAGAAGTTTTAAAAATTCTGCTCAGTTTCTTACAATTCAATAATAAAAAAGCAAATAACACCACATACAGACAGCCAAAAGCTATAAGCATGTATTTCTCCAAATAAGATATACAAATGGCAAATAAGTATAAAGAAAGATGTTCAACATCATTAGCCTTCAGAGAAATGTGAATCAAACCACAATGAATTATACTTGTATACTCACCAGAATAGTTATCACCAAAATTAAGATAGTAAGTGTTGGTGATAATATAGAGAAGTTGAAACCTTTACAAACTATTAGTTCAAATGGAAAGTGTTATAACTGCTTTGGAAAATAAACTGGGAATTATTCAAAAGGTCAGGCAAAAACATGTATGTATGTTTGCAATAGCATTGTTAAAAGAGCCAAAAACTGGAAAAGACACATGTCAGTCAACTGACAAACAGATAAACAGAATGCAGTAGAGTCATGACCAGCTTCAAAGAGGAATAAAATACTAATACTACATTCTGCAACATGGATAAACCTTAATAAATATATGTGAACTGAAAGATTTCAGTTGTGCTGGTGTTTTCATATCCCTGAGTTCTTACTTTAATTCTTAGTTCAAGAAAGAATACATAGGCCAGGGATATTGCTCAGTGGCACAGTGCCTGCCTGGCAAGCGCAAGGTCATGAGTTCAATTCCCAGTACCAAAAACAGAAAGAAAGAATACATAAAAATGGAACAATGCCTCACAATGGCAAACTTAAGATCTGTCTTCACAATGCATTTATCATAAAAGACTAAGTTAAACATTGCCTATGTGTCTTAATAAGAATTTCCTTAATATACCAACTCCCCACAATGAATGTAATCATTACTACAAATATGTACTAGCAAAAAAGAAAAAAAAACTTCCCATATAAAATTCAAACTAAAACTAATTAAACATTCAGGATAACCAATCTTCAGTACCTATACTGTTGTACCAAAAAAAAACTAAGGTTTAACCAAGTGTGGTGGCACACACCTGTAATTCCAGCACTAGGGAGGCTGAGGCAGGAGGATCATTGTGCATGCGAGGCCAGCTTGGGCTACAGAGTGAATTCAAAGCTAGACTGAACTGCACAGCAGGACTATGTCAAGAAAGAAAAGAAAGAAAAAGGAGAGGAGAGAGACAGACAGACAGACAGAAAGAAAGAAAGAAAGAAAGAAAGAAAGAAAAAGAAAGAAAGGAGAAAGAAAGAAAAAGAAAGAGAGAAAGAGAAAGGAAAAGAAAAGAAACAAAACTAGTTTTACCTACGATCTCTCTGCAGATTTAGTGTAAAGAGAAAACTTTTACTCTCACATTACCCTCTATAAATATTAAACCAACCTAAGCAGACCAGGGGTTAATAAGGCAAATTCTGTTTTAAAAAGCAGGAACTAGAGCACACCAGACAATTCTTTGAGCTGCTGAGATCCAGGAAGAAAACTAGATCACTTCTGACAAGCTCTCTATTGATTAAACAAAACTTAAAGGTATCATACAGTATTCTACGCATCTTACAAAACTTAACTTTTTTAATTAACTCTTTTAATCCTCATAACAATCCCATGAATTGACTCTTAATCATTTAATGTTAACCAGTTATAATTATATCTGTAATATGTACTTAAAGAGTTAACGTTAATTATAAATTCTTTTTTTTTTTTTTTTTTTGGTACCACGAATCAAACTCAGGACCTTGCGCTTGCCAGGTGGGCACTTGTACCGCTGAGCTATATCCTTGGCCCATAAATTCTTTAAAGTTATATCTCTCAAAACACAAACATGAGCTAGGTGTCGTGATGCATGTCTGTAATCCAGGCACTCAGGAGGCTGAGGCAGGAAGATTACTGTGAGTTCAAGGCTAGCCTGGACTCCATAGTGAGACCCTGACTCAAAAAACAAACAAACAAAACTTTGTACATTATGCAGTGAATTTTTACATTATATTACTCTTAATATTACCCAGAATCTCCTGTCCATTCTTACCACGATTATGGTTCCATTCATGTGCTTCTCTTAAGTACTTTACATCAAACTGGTACTGCCCATTTATATAAAAATAATCATCAGTACTAAGAATAATTCCATTTGGATTATCTTCTTGCAAAGTCCTGTGAATGATAAAGGTGATTATTTTTATTAATTTTCCTTCCAAAATTCTCTCTTCTAAATTTTACAGTCAGTGTATAATTGAAATAAAAATTCAAGTACTATTATTCATTATTTTATTATAATATCATTGTTTTGTTTTTGTTTTTCTTCCAGAACCAGGAATCGAACTCACAACCTTGCGCTTGCCAGGCAGGCACTGTGCCGCTGAGCTAAATCCCCAGCTCCTGTAATAGTCAAATAATACAGGAAATACTATAAACAAAATTTGATTCATAAAAAACTGACCTAAACCAAGTCTATTTTTATTTATGCAAATTATTTGTATCAATTTACAGTTAACTACATAAGTTCAAAAACTGGCAACTTTTTGTTTTGTTTTGCTTTTTATGGTGCTAGGGACTGAGCCAAAGGCCTGCCATGTGCTAGGCAAGCATGCTTCCACCTAGCTACATCTCATCACTTTTCTAAATTTTATTTTGAGACAGGGTCTTGATAAATTGCCCAGGCTGGCCTCAAACTTGCAATCCTTCTGCTTCAGCTTCCCCAGTAGCTAGCTAGATTATAGGTCTATACTATCACATGCAACTTGAATTTAATGTTTATTAGTATATATTAAGTGCCAGACACTTTTAAAAACAGCATTCACTGATAAACAGAAAAGTTCTTGCATTCACAAAGCTTGCATTCTAGTGAATGCTCACTTGATGTGAACTCTTAATTTATCATCTTGTAACTGTTCCCTTCACCAAAAAAAGTATTCCCTTCTCTGACAGCTCTTCCTTTCTTTCTAAAGGGTGTTTCTGAGCAATATAAATTGTTAATTTGTAGCCATATTCTGAGACCCCTTTCAACTATTCCCCAACTTCTCTTCTTCCCTTAACTGTTTCAATATCGGTGTTTCCTTTCCCTTTGCCTTCTACTCTCACAGGACAACAAAAGTGTCTTTTTAAAATACTGGCCCATTACCTTATCTCCAACATTCCAAAAGCCTCGTTTTCATCCCTCACTTTCCCTGAGCTCACATGCTAATTAAATGCTTGGACCATTCTTGCTGCGAAAATCTAGCTTGTATGGCTGCACTACGCAGTTATTTTTCCCTTCACTGAGAAATGTTGTTCCTACTTTGTGCCAAGTACTTCTTTCTCTTCCCATCCTCAAATGATTGCTGTCTATAATCTGAAGGCCCCTGAAATCTAGTTCTACAAACCTGTCTCAAAGCTCTATTACCTTTTTTTTTTTTTCCAGACTTTTTGAGACAGGGTTTCACTATGCAGTTTAGGCTGGCCTTGAACTCACTTTGTAGTCCAGGCTGGCCTCAAATTCACAATGATCCCCCTGACTCAGTATCCTGAGTGTTGAGATTGTATGCGCCACCACGCCCAGTTTCTATTACCTTTTAAAGTACTGCCTTTCATTCCAATCTCTTTCACAAAATACTGTGACTGTAATACATTTAGTATTAAATTGTTTTAATATCATCATTAAATTAATGAGAAAAGCCTATCATATCTCTACAGGAGAACATGGTTATAAATGTATCAACAAAATATGTGGAAATTTACTGGAAGATAAATCTAGACAAATAAAAGCTATGAAAAAAACAACTAAAAATGAACTAACAAAGCACATTCTACATGTATCTATGCATACTTTTTTTTATATACCAAGAATCAAACTCAAGACCTCATGCTTGCCAGGCAGGCACTGTGCCACGAGCTACCTCCCCAGCTCTACGTATACTCTTTGAGACTATATATACCCAGACCAAATATGAAAGATTTAAATAAAAATAGAGGAGTGTAAACAGAATTTGAGGGAGGAAGGGAGACAGAGAGAGAACTGTTAAGTATGTCAAATATAAACCTGGAATTTAAAGACTAAGAAGGAGCCGGGCGTGGTAGCGCACCCCTGGACTCCCAGCACGTGGGAGGCTGAGGCAGGAGAATCGTTGCAAGTTCAAGATCAGCCTGGGCTACAAAGTGAGCTCAAGGCCAGCCTGAACTGCACAGCGAGAACCTGTCTCAAAAAGACCAAAATATAAATAAATAAAAATAAAGACTAGGAAGGGTGAGAAGGAATTAAAACAACCAACTTCAACACTTGAAGGAGTGTCACTGAAAGTGTAACAAGGCAAACTCTAACCCTAACAATTCCTAGATCAAGGCACACTCGCAACCCACCTTAACCAAAAGCAGACCTAAGTAGAGATGAGAAAATAATTGAGGGTATTATGTTTTGTGACAAACACATCTTTGAAAATTTGAAGTTCTCTCACTTCCTTCAAATAACATATTTTTTTAAATAACATATTTCTAAAAGTCTTATTTAACAACATACTATATACCAAATTTCCAACAGTAGAATTCACATATTTAAAACTTCATTTCTATAAATTCAAGTGATTATGGCTTTTTAAGTCCATGATCAAAGTTGAATTTCATCTTTCTTGCATTCAAATTAGCTCTCTTCCAGAAAAAGCTATGTCTGTTGATTTCATAAGCTCAAATTCTTGAACTATCTTTTATTTTTTTTCTTCTATTCAGTCTCTCAAACAGTAATAGGGAGGAAAGAGTTCCAAAAACTTATGGAAAAAAGTGTTATTTGTTACAAAGCTAGAAAAATTAGTAAAAAAAATACTTTAGAAGTTATAAACAACTCTACTCAGCAAAGTATTCTGGATATTCATACATTATCTATCCGTTCACACATATGCATTATACTTTTTAAAAACTTAAGTAAAACCTCATACCTCGCCAAAAAAGATTTTCCCGATCCCGGAAGCCCTCTGAGAAGAACAAGAACTAGTCCAACATAAGATGTTGTCTTCTTTCTTACATGAGGAACAGGAGCCTCTTGCATTTGAAAAGCACTTGTTCCCTCCTGATTTCTCCATACTTTTGTTGGGGAAGTGTGAGAAATGACTGCGTGTGGAAATGTGTAGTTGACAGGTCTCCAGTGTGTAGCTGTGGTTACAATGGGAGCTACAAAGCCATGATTTCCTTGAAAGAGATCAAAAGTAGGAATCACTGGATTCCACATTGGTGGAGGAGGAAGAGGAGGAAGCAGTAAAGGGACAGGGCCAAGGACTGGGCAGTAATTCATATCCTTCTCCTTTGGTGGCAGTTCAGTATGTTTGTGGGGCTTGAAATTAAATATTTCAGAAGGTACAAAAACATCAGAGACAGAAATAGATTTCTGCTCCCCACCTGTACCTGCCAAGTCAAGCTCTGGATTTTGTACAAGAAGGTTTAAAGGTCCCTGAGGTTCACTGGTATCCAAATCTGGAGGGGCTTGAGAGAGATGAGCCTCAACACAGTTGGAATCTAAAAGCACCTTTTGCCTTTGATTGTTACAACCCACAATAGAGTCATTTGCTGGATTTAAAGGATGATTGAGAAGAGAATCTTCTGGATAGTTATGTTCCAATGCCAATGTGTTATCCTTCATAAAACTTTTGGACTCATTCAAAACTGAATGTGAAGTTAATGGTTTTGAACTTAATGCAGAGGCAGAAATCTCTAAATTATCACTGTTTGAGTCCATATTTTGTGTAGAAAGAACAGCAGTCATACTATTTGAATGTGAATTTATAAACTGACTGGAGTTATTAAGACTATTAACATCTTGCAAAGGCAAAAATGAGTATGCTTGGTCATCAGAAGAGTTCAATTTCTCAAAAGCATTCTCTATTAAGGAATCCAAGTCTTTAGTTAGCTGTGTATCAAAAAATGAATCTAGTTTTGAATCTTCACTCTCTTCTTCATGTGGACACTTCTCCATTATTTCACTTCCTGTTGCACTCAGCTGGTTCTCAGAAGCAACAAAGGTTTTTGAAGATGATTCTTCTACCTTGGCATCAGTGGCAGATAATTCTAATAGACAATCCATGGCATCTTCAACTGCACAACAAAAACAGTAACAGCAAAAGTAAGCTACAACTTACTTGAAAAAAGTTAGATATTACCTCATTAAAAGGAAAAATACTGGATTTTTGCATTGAATGGAATACAGGAAAATTGGTAACATTCAAGTCATTTTTAAAAAATTACTGTTTTACTCATAATACACTGAAGTCTGTATCAGTGAAAAGTTCCAGTGTTGGGAGACATGCAACATTGTTCTTCCACTCAGATAGCAGTAAAAAGTTATCAAGCAGATCTTCTTTGATTAATTTATTGAGTAAATACATAAATATCTGTAATTGTATGTATTAGGGTTATTTATAAAGGTCCTAATGTCAGCTCATTTATTCAACTACTTACCAACTTGGTGCATGCTATGAATTTCACTTCATACAAAGAGTATTTATGAGCATGTACTACCTATTGGGAATATTTTGTACACAGTCTTTACTAGACTCAAAGGATTTTGCAGTTTAGTAGAGACTGAAGACAATTACCGTACAGCAGAACCTTGGTTCACAAACTCAATTCGTTCCATGATTCTGGAGGATGGCCATGTTCATGTTCATGCAGGAAAGGTGCCTGCAGTTCTGTTTGTCACCTGATGCTAAGCTCACACAAACAAAATTTTGCCAATTGGTTCTGTCCGTGAACCAAACTGTTTGCAAAGAAAAGCATTTGTGAACCAAAGTACCACGGTACAACATAATTCATAATATAGTATAGATTAAACAATGTACATTTTTTATAACATATAAATGCCATAGCAGTATTTAGGAAACCAAGGAAGATTTCACATAAACTGATATGTAAACTGGCACTTGAGTATTAAAAATCAACTTGCCAAAAAAAAAAAAAAAAGCAACTTGCCAGACAGGGGAAGAGGTAAAGCCAAGCTTAAAAATGCAAAGTATGTTTAAGGTGTTAAAAGAAGTCAGTTGAAGAAAGGGCACACAGTGCCATATATAGTAGATATTTGAATAAGATAAAACTGGAGCGGGAGACTGAGTTAAACCGGGAATATTCCTGTATGTCATGCTAAGAAATATGAATTTCATTTATTAAGAGAACTTGAATGTAAACCACCATCCATGGCATTTGGGCTAGCAGCTTTATACAAATCACCTCACTGAATCTTCAAGTAATACTATGAGGTATATCATCCTAACAAATAGACAAAAAAAATGAAACTCAAAAACTGTATTATGTCACATAGGCAGTAAGTGACAGAGTCAAGGCTGATGTGTCTGACTCCAAGGCTGAGCTTTTTCTGTTATAACACAAATAACAATAAGCCAGTAGAATTTTCATGTGTGTGAGGGGGGGTACTGAGAATCAAACTCAGGACTTTGCACCTGCCAGGCAGGCACCTGTGCCTCTGAGTTACATCCCTGGCCCAAGCCAGTAGAATTTTCCAGCATTTGAGGGCTGAAGATGTAGCTCAGTGGTAGAGTACCTGCTAGACATGCATAAGGCCCTGAACTTAATCATGAGTGCCACAAGAATGATGATGACAATAATAATTTCAACATTTGAAACTTGTGGTGTTTTAATATTATTTCTGTGTTACGTCTTGTTTTAAGAAAGATAAATCTGTAAGTGGCACAGCATTAGGTAAGAGCTCTGGTCTGGATCAGGACACCAGCATTTAAATTCCTACTTGCTGGCTATGACACTTTGAACAAGTTAGCTAACCTCTCTGAGCCCCACTTTTCTCACTTGTAACATGGGGATAATAAAAGTACCTACCTCATAGGTTGTTGTGAGGATTAAATGAGATAATCCATGAAAAAGTGTTATGCACAAGGACTGGCACCTAGTAAGCACCCAACTAATGTACCCTTGAGAAGAAAAACAAAGAGGGAAGGGCAAGCCTGGCAGATAGACCATTTAGGAGATCACAGCAATACAACAAAGGCAAAAAGCCCTAAAAATGAGGGAGAAAGAGGGGAGTTAAAATGAAAAAAGAAGAAAGCAAATAGAAGAGGTATTTCTATGAAAAAAAATGCATGACTGAAAACCCTGAAAAGACCAACTGAAAAAAATTAAGATATATAAAATGAAAAATAGCTTTAAGTAAAGTGAGTAAAAGATCAAGAGATATAACTGTCACATGGAAAGAAAATTCCTTAAACAAACTATTGGAAAAAAATTGTTATGAAATCAACCCAAAAAAAAAGAATGAAGAATTTATAAAAGAATATAAGAATAAAAAGTCATGTACAAAAATGTTCAAAGATCTCCTTTATGAAAAAAACATATTAAGAAAATTTATTTTATTCTTATTACAATCTTAAAATAATTCCACCCCATGCTGAAGAGGGCAGTGGTGAAAGACTACACTTACACAGTGCCAGTGGTATTACAAATCAGCATACCTCACTGGTGAGCAACACAGCAAAACATTTCCAAGAGTTGAAAACTGCTCTTAGGCTATGATACAGAAAATAAAACTTTGGGACTAAGAAAAGAAAAAACCAAAAGGAAGAAAAGGCTATTTTAACTAACATGTTCTTTATAATATTAATTATTCTTGAAAAACTTAGGCATAAATAACCAAAGTACAACAATTCAAAAAAAAAAATTCATAGGACTACTAGAAAACTATGAAAATATAGATTATTGCAACAACTTTAGAAGTTTATATATTAAATTTAAAAAGCAGAATATGGTCGGGTGTGGTGGCGCACGCCTGTAATCCCAGCACTTGGGAGGCTAAGGCAGGAAGATCATTGAGAGTTTGAGACCAGCCTGGGCTACAAAGTGAGTTCAAGGCCAGCCTGAACTACATAGCGAGACCCTATCTCAAAAAGACAAAAGAAAAAAAAAAAAGAATATGAAGTGTCATTAAAGCTATTACTCAAACCATTCAAAATATCAAATGTTTATAAACAAGTGTTTATAAACAGGTACTACAAAAGATCCTGAAAAGAGAAATAAATTCTTCATTAGGATATATGACAATACAGTTTTCTTATAATTCCCCATTGCTATGTTAATTTATATGCAACAAATTTTTAAATACTTAAAAATTAGGAAATAAATGCTGAAGGAACTTAATAAAATTCTATATTCTATCATTCCTGAACACCAAAGTGCACTGTAAAAATCTTATTTGCTGCATACCAGCATAAATAAAATATGCTCACACAACTAGAAATGAAAGTATTGGGGCTGGGGATTTAGCTCAGCGGCATAGCGCCTGCCTGGCAAGCGCAAGGTCGTGAGTTTGATTCCTGGTACTGGGAAAAAAAAAAAAAAAAAAAAGTAAGTTTTACCACATATTACCAAAACCTTCAAATCCAGAATAATTTTATCTTATATTAATCATGGCCAAGTCAGGTGTGGTGGCACAGACTTGTAACCCCAGCACTTGAAGTCTGAGATGTGAGGATCACCACGAGTTTGAGGCCAGCCTGGAGTATATAGTGAATTTAAGGCAAGCCTGCACTACATAGCAAGACCTTGTCTCAAAAAAAAGAAAAACAAAAACCAAAAAACACGAAGCCAAGTGTGGTAGCACATACTTATAATTCCAGCACTCAAGAGGCTGAGGCAGGAAGACTGCCATAAGTATGAGGCTGGCCTGGCCTACAAAGTGAGTTCAAGGCCAGCCTGAACTGAACAGTGAAACCCTGTCTCAAAACAACCAAAAGAAAGAACAACAAAAAAAAATTAACAGTGGCCAGAAATGTAATTTACTCATCTAGCCAACTATCTAGTATTTTCTATGTGCAAATATGCTGGTAAACAACTTAGTACAAGTTACTATACTGACGACTTTACTAGAAAAAAGACATATAAAAAATCAATCCTTCCCTGGCATGGTGGCGCACACCTGTAATCCCAGCACTTGGCAGATTGAGACAGGAAGATCGTCTTGAGTTCAAGACCAGCCTGGGCTACGAAGTGAGCTCAAGGCCAGCCTGAACTGCATAGCAAGACACTGTCTCAAAAAGACAAAAAAAAAAAGGGCAATCCTCACCAAAAAGTCCTGTAAGATTCATACTATTACTTTTCATTAACAGGTTAGAAAACTGAGACTTAGATTAGTGACAGAACTGGAAATCCAAACCAGGTCTCCTGACTCCAAAGTCAAAGTTTTTTAAAACCACACTACTCTACTAGCTTAAGCTTTCATTTGCACAATTACAATTACCAAGCTGCTACTAACTCCTAGGGGTTATTTGTTATTTTAAGGGTTAAAAATACAGAAGTAAAGCAGTTTTTAAAATCTCTGTTTTCATGGAGCTTATATTCTAGGACACTGATTCTCAACCAGGTAAAATTTTGCCTCCTTTAATAATATACAGAAATATTTTTGGTCAACACAAATAGGGGGTAGAACACTCCTGGCATCTAGTGGGTAAAGCCAGGCATGCTATTAAATATTCTACAATGCATAGAAGAACCATTCCCCAAAAGAATTATTCAGACCAAAATGTCAAGAGTGCCAACCTGTTCTAGAGGAAAGATAAAAATAAGATGTAGAACATGAGATGATCTATACCTACATCTTACATCTAGGACTACACGTTTCTTAAGAGCAGAAACCGTGCCTTATTTTTCTTCATAGCCCTCATAATTCCAAACTTGGTGCCTTGCCCATGGCAGATGCTTAATAATGAAAATGAGAGTTATTTTTCTATATCACTATTAGTCATAACATACTACATGTCTTCTTATAAGATGTAAAGTGTTCAAACTAAACTTTTTCTCACCTTTGAAATCACATTCAGAAAGCATCAAATACACTACATCAGGATCCAGATCAGAAAACATCTCTGAGATACTGGTGAAGAGTTCTTCCTGATCAATTTTTGTCTCACACACAGAAAGAAGAGTAGTGGTTGGCTCCTCATGACTAGCAACACCGGATACGACAACTTCCTTAGAGTTCGCAGTCTTCCGAAAAGGGTTTCCCCCAAGATTTTTCCTTTTCCTTGGCATTCTGACTTCCAAAACTAAAATGCTTCCCTTTTATAAAATTTAAGATGTTTGATATTTAAATCATAATTCAAAAAAATAGGGTTAAAATCTTGCACAATCCAGCAGTAATAGGACCTAAAATAAAAAGCAGGTAAAATCACTCAGACTATATGGTTATATTTCTATTTCTATCTCTAAAACTGGAATGACAACTTTATTTAACTCTAAGAAAGTACCATCACTTCTGGCAATAAAGCCAAAAAGTGCTGAAACAATTGCTTTCTTCAAATTATTCCAGTTTTGCAGGATTGAACGTATTAAAAATTAAGATATTAATAAAGTATAACGTATTTCAGGAAAGTGAGTACATTGTTTTAATATCATTATTTCTTTTAAAAACATAAAACAGCATCCATAAATATAATTAGAATGCCTACTGAATGCTTACACTCAGATGTCTAACAGGAATCATAAACTTAACATGTCTAAAACTGAGTTCCTGATTACCCCGCTTCAAGCAAGCCTGCTTTTTCCAGTTTTTCAACACGTAACTCTAGCCATCTAATTGCTAAGGCCATAGCTCTTGGAATTATCCTGACTTCTCTCATCCCATATCCAACTGTTAAGCCAGTTTTGCAAGAGCAACCCCCAAAATAAAAATTTTTAAAAAGCAACCCCCAAAACATATCCAGAATATGATCATTCCTTACATCTGCACTCTAACTATAGACTGTCAGTCTTTTGCTTGTATTACTCTAACAATCTAATTTTCTTGCTTCTGCCTTTGCCCCTTTAGTCTGTTTAGCATTGCAGGCAGAGTGGCTCAAGTAAACTGCAGGTTGGATCATGCCTCCTTCTGCTAATCTATCCACTAGCTTCCCATCTCAGGATGAAAGGCAGAGGCCTTAAAATGCCCTACAACCCAGACACTGTTGCCTCTCTACTCACTGTCATTTCCTAGCCCTCCTTCCCTTGCTCATGCCACTCCATGCAAACTTAGCCTCTTTGCTCTTCTTTAACATATCAGCCATGCTCGCACCTGGGAACCTTTACACCTTGGTTCCCTCTACCTGAACTATTCTCCCAGCTACTTCCTACCGCTTTCTTATTACTATTCAGTATGCTACTATCTCAGGAACTCAGCTGTTCAACCTATTAACTGTCTTTCCCTACTTTAATTTTTCCACAGCACCTGTCTTCTGACATGGTATATGTTTTACTTATTTATTGTGTTTATCATCCTTAGTCCAGTAAAGGATAAGCTCCACAAAGGCAGGAATCCATCTACCTGGAGTAGAACTATGATCTCCTTATTTTCTCTGTATGTGTCTAATAACATTTTGAACTTAAAAATACCCAAAATTACATATCTGGTATTTTTCCCAAAATCTGTTCTATCCATTTGGTCTACCATCATCTTTCCTGTGTGTTCCTATCTCCTAACTAGTCTCCTTGCTTGTATCCTTGTCCCCTACGTTCTATTTTTAACATAACAACTAGATTAACCAGGGTTTGCTCTAAACCTTCAAGTTGTTACAATGGCCTGCCTCCCTGCTAGCACTTGATCCACGCTTCCCCAAGATAGTTATATTGCTTACTCTCTCACTCCTTCAAATCCTCTGTTCAAGTATTATATTCAATAGTTTTTTTGTACTGAGAATTAAACTCAGGACCTTGCGCTCACCAGGCAGGCACTGTGCCACTGAGCTAAATCCCCAGCCTCATATTCAATGATTTCTGATCCTGACTATCCTACTGAAAATCAAATACCCCAATCCCTTTACCCCAATCTCCTCCTTTCGCTACCACCCATTGCCTTTAATCACCTCCTACCATAAAATTTACCTTTTAGTTAAATTTGTGTCATAGCTTTCTCCACCTTCCACAACTGCACTGTCAATATGGCAGGCGCCAGCCACATGAGCCTATTTAAATTCAAATTAATTAAAATTAAATGAAATCACATTTTTATATGTAAGAATTCAAAACAAAGAAAATTAATAGAAACAAAAAAGGACATTATTTAATGATAAAATATCCATCCACCAGGAACATGTAGCAACCCTAAATGTCTAAATACTAAACAAATAGCTACAAAACAGGTGAAGAAAAAAACTGACAATACTTAAAAGGAAAAGAGACAAGTTCACTATACGTAGAGATTTTAATACTTCTACTAACAACTTATAAAAACTATTAGAAAATCCCAAGGATACAGAACTAAACAATAACAAAGATGTAATCAACAGGACATCCATAGAATATTCCACCCAACAGCCCCAGAATACACATTCTCTTCAAATACCCACAGAACCACTAGCAAGATACAGCATAATCTAAGCTACATAACAAATCTTAACAATCTTACAAGTACTGAAATTATAGAGTACGTCCTTCAACCACACAAAACAAAAGTAGAAATCAATAACAGATAATAGGAAAATCTTCAAACATTTAGAAGCAAAGCAATATACTTCTAAACAAACCATAGGTCAAGGGTGACATCTCAAGTAAAAATGTTTAAATATACTGAAATAAATAAAAGTCAAAATACATCACATATATGGGCATGGTAGCGCACACCTGTAATCCCAGCACTCGGGAGGCTGAGGCAGAGGATCACTGCAAGTTCAAAACCAGCCTGGGCTACAATGTGATCTCAAGGCAAGCCTAAACTCCTTAGTGAGGCCCTGTCTCAAAAAAAGGACCCCCAAAAAAAAAAAAAAAAATCACATAAAAATCTATAGGATACATTTAAAGAACTGATGACAGGAAAATTTATAACACTAAATGCTCATACAAGAACACCACCAAAAGTCAAAACTGTAAAATTACCGCTGTTTGCCATTATACCGATCAAAACCTAATTTAAAGGTTGGACAGAAAGATGGAATATAATATGGAGAAGAATTTCCACAGACCAAAAAAAAAGAGTTTCCACAGATCTCTATGAGATCACCAAGAATCTTCAAAATTGTTGATAAATTCATTAAACAATTTCTAAAAACAAAAAAAAACACTAAATGCTATAGAACAGTGAAGATGTCTACTTTACTTTTATTCAACATAATGATGGAGGATCTAGCTTTTAAAATAAACTACAAAAGATGAAGTCTTCAATCAATAACCTAGTCTCCCCACGTGTGGTGGCCCACACCTGTAATCCCAGCACTTGGGAGGCTGAGGCAGGAGGATCAGAGGCCAGCCTGGGCTACATAGCAAGTTCAAGGCCAGTCTGAGCTACATAATGAGACCCTATCTCAAAAAAAAAAATCTAAGTCTATCACAAGAACCTAGAAAAAGAAGTGCAAAATAAACCCAAGTCAGGAGACAGAAAAAAACAATAAATGAAAGAACAAGTATCAACGAAATTGAAACAGAAAAAAGCAAACAAATTTTAAAAAGTACTATTCACTGGTCAATAAAATTGACAAACCTAGTTGAAAGAAAAGACACAAATTCCCAGTATCAGGAATGAAGCGGCTATCACTACAGATCCTGCAGATACTAGAAGGCTGATAAAGGAAAATATTAATTATTAATTTTACAAAGAAAAATTTGACAACTTACATAAAATAGTCCAGTTTCTCAAAACTACACACTACCATAACTCACCCAACAGCAAATATATATATATATATAATTTTTAATAAAAGTTAATTCACAATTTTAAAACAAAAAATCCAGGATCCAGCTTGAGTGAAGAATTCTATCATTTTCACAAAAAAATTAACACTAATTCTATAAAGTATCTTCCAAAAAAATAAGAGAAATCACTTTCAACTCATTTATGAAGCTAATACTATCCTGATTCACAACCAGAAAAAAACCAGTACAGAAACAAAATCTACACACCGATATCCCTTATGAATATAGATACACAAATCCCTCACAAAAAACGAAAGTGTAAATAAGGACTAAAATGTATTATAGATATTGGGAAATAGGAAGAAAAAGTTCAAATGGGAAGGGGAACTAGGGAGGGACGAGGTGGAAAAGAAAAAAATGATGAGAAAAGAAGGGGGAAATGGAAACAAAGCTTTGTAAACAAGGAGGGGAAGAAGGGTTGAAGGAGGGCAGGGGGATAGGGAAAAAAAAAGAGCCAAGTTATATCATGCACAGGTACAAGTTCCCTATAATGAAGGCGATCATTATGTACACTTAAAATGCACCAATAAACTTAATTTTTAAAAAAAATCCTTCACACTTCCTCAAAAAACTAAAACCAGAGGTTCTAATCGACCCAGCTAATTTCCTTCTTGGTATCCTCCCAAAAAGAACTAAAAAGAGTTAAAAAGCATCATACTACAGTGATATATGCACACCCATGCTTACAGTGGCCCAGTTTGTAATATGTAAGTCTTGGAAACAACTCAAATGTCCACCAACTGATGAATGAATAAAGAAGAGATAGGGTTGGTTTGTTTGTTTTTTAACACAGTGGAATACTACACTGCAACACAGAAGGATAAGCTTGAGGCATTTCTAGCTAAATGGATGCACCTTGAGATCATACTCCTAAATGAAATAAATCTGACACACATGTATAAATATCACATGATTTCTCTGGTGTGAGAAACCAAAAGTGTAAATAAATAAGGACCAAAATGTATAACAGATATTGGGAAGGACATTCTTTTTGTTGTTGTTGTTGTTGTTTTTCCGGTACTGGGGATCAAACTCATGACCCTGCACTTGCCGGTCAGGCACTGTGCTGCTGAGCTAAATCCCCAGCCCCTAACAGATATTGGGAAATGGGAAGCAAATGTTCAAATGAGAAGGGGAATGAGGTGGGGAGGGAGGAAATAAGGGACAAAAGAAAAAAACAAGGAAAAATGGAAACAAGCTTTTGTAAATAAAGAGGGGAACAGGGGCTAAAGGGAGGGTAGGGGAATAAAAAAAAAGAACATATCACGTACAGGTACAAATTCCCTATGATGAATGTTATCACTATGTACATCTAAAATGTACCAATAAAATAAAAAAAGAAAAAATACTGCTACTTTAAAAATAATCCCTCACAAATATTAGCAAATCAAAGTCAGCAATATATAAAAAGAATTATATACCAAAAAGTAGAATTTATTCTAAGAATGCAAATGTGGCTCAATGTTTAAAAATCAGGATAGTCTATGAAAATGAACAGGGTAAAAAAAAATTAAACAATACAGAAGAAAAAATCTGGCAAAATTCAACACCCATTCAAGATTAAAAAAAAAAAAACAAAAAACTTCTATGGGTTTTTTTTTTAGTACTGGAAATTGAACTCAGAACCTTGCACTTGCCAGGTAGGCGCTATGCCACTATATCCCCAGCCAACACTTCTAGTAAAACAAGAATAGAGGGGTACTATCAGAACTCATTAAAGAACATCTACAAAAGACTACAGCTAACATTATACTTAGTGGGAAAACATTAAAATACTAAATATTTTCCTCTTAAAATCAGGAATACACTCCATGGAGGATCCCTGGGTAATCATGACTATAAAGAAAAAGAAAACAGCCTGTTGCTAGACACAGATGCAAGTCTCTCAGTCCTTCTTTTCAATCCTGGCCTTCCTTCTAGCCGTCACACCTCAGAGAAAGGAGTCACTGATAAGGAGGTAATAGGCTATTTTTCACAACCCTTAGGCTGTAACTACTTGTTAGGTCTTTCTTGCGTATCTCTGTCTTCCTGAGAAACCACTTTGAAGATACCACCATGTATTACAGCAGCCTGTAATATTTTCCTACTAATCTGTCCATAACTCTGTAATGTTTGTACTATTCCCATGTTATTTCGTAAATGGATGTATGTTTATTACTATGTGTTTCCTGCAACAACCATTGAGAATAGTCAATGAATATTCAATTGGTCACTCATCTATAGCTCTATTTACTTTCTTTAGAAACCACTTTGAAGATACCAAAGTATAGTACAACAACCATTGATAATAACCTACCACTTTTGTCTGTAACTCACTATTATTTGTCTATTTGTTTTCCTGAGAAACTATCTTGTAGATAACAATATGTAAAACAACAACCATTAATAATTTCCTACCACTTTGTCTGTAATTCAGTAAGCCCCCCATTACTATGTTATCCTTCTTTTACTCTTTAAAATAATAAAAAAAAAAAAATCAGGAATATAGTGAGGATGTCTACTTTAACCACTTTTATTCAACACAGTGCTGGAGGATCTAGCTTATGAAATAAGATTTTTAAAAAAGGAAGTAAAGGGGCTGGGGATTTAGCTCAGCAGCACAGCGCCTGCCTGGTAAGCGTGAGGTCATGAGTGCAATTCCCGGTACAGGAAAAAAATAAAATAAAATAAAATAAAATAAAAAAATAAAAAAGGAAGTAAAGCATACATACAAAGAAAAGAATAAAAGTGCCCCTATTTGCAAATGACATGATTGTCTATATAGAAAATTTTAAGGAGTTTACAAAATCTCCAATCAGTAGGTGAGGTCAGCAAGGTTGTAGGACACAAGTTAAGCACACAAAAAACACTATATATTCACTAGCAATGGACACAAATAGGGAAATTAAAACACATTACCATTCAAAACCACTCAAAAAAATAAAATACATAAGTACTAATCTGACAAAGAAATTATAGGGCTTGTATTCAGAAAACTACAAACAGTGATGAAAGAAACCAAAGATCGAGACTTTGCTTTTGTACCAGGAATCAAACACAACCTCGCGTTTGCCAGACAGGTGCTGTGCTGCTGAGCTGTATCCCTGGCCCCCAAAGATCTAAAAGAATGGAAAACATAGCATGTTCATGGGCTGAAAGACTCAATACAGTAAGGACAGCAGGGCCGGTGATATCGCTCAGCTGCACAAGTGCCCACCTGGCAAGTGCAAGGTCCTGAGTTCAACTACCAGTACCAAAAAAAAAAAAAAAAAGAAAGAAAGAAAGAAAATACAGTAAG